AAAGTTACCACTTTTCGGCGCTTTTAGGCGCCATCCCTGTGAAGGGTTGCGAAGTTGGCGTGGTCGAGCGCCCAAACGTGTGGGAAAGTTGCTACTTTTCGGCGCTCTTAGGCGCCATCCGTGTGAAGGGTTGCGAATTTGGCGTGGTCGAGCGACCAAACGTGTGGGAAAGTTACTACTTTTCGGCGCTCTTAAGCGCCATTCGCAACCCTGAAAGGGATTCGTGTGGTCGAGTGTACGAACGTGTGGGAAAGTTACTACTTCTGCGGTGCTTTGCGGTGCTCGGGAGAGAAGTACATAGAGTGAAGTACATAGAGTCAAGTGCATAGTACATAAAGTGAGTGAAGTACATCGAGTTACGTGCATAGTACATAGAGTGAAGTACATAGAGTCCAGTGCATAGTACATAGAGTGAAGTGCATCGATTTACGGGCATAGTACATAGAGTGAATGAAGTACATCGAGTCACGTGCATAGTACATAGAGTGAAGTACATAGAGTCAAGTGCATAGTCCACAGAGTGAAGATGTACTTGGCTTTATGACTCGATGTTACCTGTGTACCTGACTTATGTACTTGACTCTATGCACTCGACTGGAGTAGACTAATATGACTCTATGTACATGTATACTTGACTCTATGACTCTTTAGGGTTCAGGGCTGACGGTTTAAGGCTTAGGGTTTAGGGTTACAGAGTGAAGATGTACTTGACTCTACGACTCTATGTACCTGTGTTCCTGACTTATGTGCTTGACTTTATGCACTGGACTGGACTAGACTAATATGACTCGATGTACATGTATACTTGACTCTATGACTCTTTAAGGTTTAGGGTTTAGGGCTGAGGGTTTAAGGCTTAGGGTTTAGGGTTTATGGCTTAAAGGTTTAGGGCTTAAGGCTTTAGGGTTTATAGGCATTGGTTCACCAATAGTAGACCAATAAATCTCGAGATTTTCGTTTGTTTCAATCATCCAAGAAAACTTGAGGTTTGGGGACCCTTGAACCCGAAATTTGACCTTAGCCCAAAACAGACACCTCCAGTACTAAACTTTGTATACAATAAAGAATTCGATTTGGGGTGCTCGGGAGAGAAGTACATAGAGTGAAGTACATAGAGTCAAGTGCACAGTCCACAGAGTGAAAATGTACTTGACTCTACGACTCTATGTGCCTGTGTACCTGACTTATGTACTTGACTCTACGCACTGGACTGGACTAGACTAATATGAGTATGATGTACATGTATACTTGACTCTATGACTCTTTAAGGTTTAGGGTTTAGGGCTGAGGGTTTAAGGCTGCAGGCCGGATTCCTGTGACTTCGCTCGGCAGGTTAACGACAGTCTGTGGCGGAAGACATGCAGGCACCGCCGCTGCCCTCTTCTCAAGTTGTTTAGGTGGCTGCTAGCGAGCCATGGTAGAACTTGGGGATCTCGTGTAGTTCAGCTGCTTGACGGGATCAGGAAGCAAGCCAGTTTGCGGTTGGGTCGTGGAAGCCGGACCGAGCGATGCAGTGATAGGCACCACGCCGAAGAGTGTGGACGGAGCGGAGCACACTGCAGAGGGACGCCACGATCACGTGCAAGTTGGTTTTGTGAGAGTAGGCGTGGAATCCTTGAAGTTGGAGTGTCCCTCCGATTGGAAAGGACCGAAGCCTCGATCAGTGCCGAGGTTTGAAATCAGTGCTGCAGCATGGAAGACGGCAGCCGGGCAAGAGTTGCCCAGCAGCGGCGCCGAGAATCCTCGGAAAGGCCGGTCGAAGCCGGAGAGCAGTCGGAACAAGGGGCGCCTCGACCTTCGCAACCTTCAGCGCCTGTACGAGGACGACACAGACAGCGAGGAGGAAGCCGAGAGCGAAGAGGCCGCGCGCGGCCGCTCGCGAAGCAGCGGCTATCTGCCGCCGGGCCAGGGCGGATCTCGAGCCAAGCGCTCGGGACACAAGGCGCAGGGGAGTGCGGAGGAAAGCAAGGAGATGGACCTCAAAGCGGCCATGCGGAAGCAGTTGCAGCGACAACTGTCCCGGGGCGACGACTCTCAGGACCTGATGCCGATGATGATGATGGCTTTGCTTATGAAGGACGACAAGAAGAAGAAGGGACGCAGCAGCAAGGACGAGCCCGACGATCTCCTTGGTGGCTCCTCCTCCGACGACAGCGACCCAGAAGGTCTACGAGGCAGGGGGATGAAAGCGGTAAGTACTTTGCAAAAGTTGCACCGTCGGATCCATACCCACCCAAAGCGCATTGTGGAGCTGTTCGAGCGGGAAGTCATCGAGGAGCTGGGCATCGTCCAGGGTCAGGCATGGACACTGAAGGACTACATCAAGAAGCAGATCTTTGGCAAGTACAAGGGGATCTTCAGATGCACCATGATGGACGTCAGTGTCTACGAGCTTCTGAGAGCGGGCGAGGTGGACATTGCGGGCGATTGGAGCACGGCCTGGCTTTTGACAGGTCTTCAAGATCCTCTTCAGCGCGGGTCCAAGGAGGAGATGTCGGTGATCAGCGGGTACGCGGAGGCCCTGGCAAAGTTGAAGAAGCGAGTCAAGGAAACCCAAGGAGGAGCCGAAGCGGAGGACGACGACGGCCCCGGGCCGTCCGGCCGAAAGTGAAACCACCTAAACAGCTGCATGGGGCCACATGTGATGGTGTGCTTGGCGCCATCCTGCGGGGCCGGAATTCGGATTTTATGAAATATTACACATGGCTTAAATGCGCTCAAGGTGTTCGGCTGGAGCTGTCCGGCGACGCTCCACTCTTTCCGGCCATGCTTCCCTACCCGGAGGTGCTCGACGAGCACAAGGGCGGAGGGCTTTCTTTGTCGGCACGGTGGGCTAGGTCTTTCCTCAATGTGTTTGTGGCCTGGTCCAACTTTGTCGTCTTGGGGTGTCCTCGTGAAGATGGGAGTGGGTTCGAGCCGCGAGTAGGGTATCGGTGCCTCGAACATGTTCGGGATTTTGCTGATAGGCTGCTTGGCGAGGTGGAAGAATTTGTTTGTGATGAACTGGCCCAGGGGACCTTCAAGGCCGAAGGCAAGAAGGCTTCGATCGAAGAGGTGCTCGTGAGGCTACAGTGTACAGGAGCTGCATGTTACTTTGACTCTGCGGGCAAGGCTGCGGCGAAGGTGGCTTCGACGGCTTTGCCAGTGGTGTCCTCTCGAGTTGCGACCCCCTTGCAGGCAGGACAGGTTGACCCTTTAGATTGGTTGCCCCCTGCGCAAGCCTGGGTAGTCGAGCATCTTGAAGAGATGCGGCTGCCCGAGCATCTTTGGAGCGAGCGTGTGCTCGCCTGTCACCAGGTGCCAGCCGAGGAAGAGCCGGCGCTCGCCGATCGGCTGTTGGAGGCAGGGATGGCGGTGCTGGTCCCCGAGACTGAGCTACCACGACGGAGCGATGGGTCCCTGCTTTCGGGAGGCCTCTTCGCAGTTCGAAAGAACGAGCACGAGGACCGGCTGATATTCGACCGGCGACCTGAGAATAGTACTATGCCAGCTCTTGATTGGGCTCACCTGCTAGGTGGAGCCTGCTTCGCTCGACTACTTTTACGGCCAGGTGAGTATCTCAGGGGTTCTGGTGATGATCTCCGCATCTCCGCAACTTCTATTACACGCTTAAACTTCCTGATCGGTGGGTCCGATATAATGGGGTGGGCCGCCGCATTGATGCACAGGTGGCGGCCAAGCACGGAGGGCGACCGGGTGTCCGGTACCGATTGTGCTTCAGAGTCCTGGGGATGGGCGATCGGAACGGGTGTGCCATCGCTCAGGCGACGCACGAATCGATCCTGAAGAAGTTCGGTCTGCTACAACCTCAGCATCAGCTTAGATACGGTGATCATATACCAGATTCGAGTTTGGTGGAGGGCGTGTACATTGATGACCTGCTGATTGCGCGCATTTGTCAACATGGTGAGGTAGTCCCCGTAGATGGCAGTTTTCAACCTCCTCCCCCGGATCCCGAGGATGAAGATGTACTACATGTACGAGCTGCTGAAGAAGCTTATGAGGCCGCCGGCTTGGAACGAGCGATACACAAAGCCTTTCGCTTCGAGACGGCCTTCCGTGCCTGGGGCGTCGAGGTGGATGGAGTTCGAGGGCGAGTCGGTGCTCCAGTCGAGTAATGGAATCAGGTTGGGCCAGCAAGGAGGTTTTGCAGGCGATCCTCGGCTACCTTTCCTTCATTTTCCAGTACAGGCGGGAGTGCTATTGCTTACAACACCACATGCGCAAGTATGTCTCGAGCTTGGTTGAAGGTAAGTGGTATTTCCACCCGCGCACATTATAGACGAGCTGCGTTCCACCTCCCATTTTCAGTGTGGAACATGAGGCGGCGGCTCGATCGGCGGCTCCTCGCCACGGATGCCACGCCTACGAGTGGAGGGGCGGTCGTGGCCGAGGCGCCCGAGCCCTTAGTACGAGCTCTTTGGAGGCGCACCGATGTGAAGGGTGAAGCGGTGCGCCTGGACAGGACCTCTGACTTCGATGCTGGAAGTTGCCAGGGCTCGGGAGGCGTCCAAGTTCGCCAGTCTGGGCTCTTCGGAGGGAGGTGATACGACTCGCCAGCATCTTCGACAACGGAGGGCAGATCAAGATATGCCTCAACGACAGCCGGGTTGTAGTCGGAGCTTGCACCAAGGGGCGATCAAGTTCATTCAAGTTGAATGGCATGTTGCGCTCTCAGCTTCCCTATCTGATCTTTGGGGACCTGGCTCTCGCCCTGCTGTGGGTTGAGACCGAGTCCAACTTTGCCGATTGGCCATCGAGATTCAGACCGCTACCGGCACCACGGTCCCCGCCTGAATGGTTAGCCCGCCTAGGTGTATGCCCTGAAGGTGACTTCCGCGGCATTATTTGCGGGCCCAGCACGCTTGACTCAGTGGAGGAGCCGGTGCTCTACAGCACCAGCCCGGGCCTCTGGAGTGAGAAGTTGGAGCAGTTGATTGCCAGCCGGCGGATCCGATGGCTGTGGCTAGCACCTCCAGAGCATTCTTTCAGCACGAAGGGGGGGACCGCGAGACCCAAAGGACTATCCGAAGGTGATGTGCGGCTGCCCGAGGTCGCGTGGGGAAACCTTATTTGGAGACGTGTGCTACAGTTGGCTGCCCAGGTCATGGATGCCGGTGGCTACTTCTTCATCGTCCACTCGAAGGGCTCCAAGGCGTGGCGTCTGAGGGACACCGAGCTGTTCTTGCGAAGGGAGGGCATTGTTCGGTTGCAGTTTGACTTTAGTGCATTCTGGGACGGAGATCAGACGAGAGCACCGGGACGCAGGATAAGAACGCTTGTGACTAATGCTCCCTGGGTCCACGGTGTGATGCACGCCCTTCCGAAACCCGACCGCGCCTCAGCCACTTCGACTCATACTGGCGTTGCGGGACCTGGGGTGTATCCTTGGGGATTCTGCCAGACTGTATGCCCTCCGGGGCTGGCAGAGGGCGAACTAAGCTGCGCAACATCGCACTTACTCCGGAGTACCGTCGACATCTACAAGATGCATGCCTGTGGATTCTGGAGTTAGTGTGTGAGTTGGGGGGTCGGCTTTCGTCTCGGTCGTCGGCGCGGAGGGTTGACAAGTGGTTGGAGAGGGCAGTCGAGGAGGCACACAACCGTGGAGAACGTTTATTTTAGGTGAAGCTGACTCCTTCGCAACACATGGGGGCGCGTTCAGGGGCTGGCAGTCGCTACAACCTACCCGTTCGCGGACTCCCATTACTTTCTACATCCTGGAGGCTCTGCTGCTTATGTTCTTGCACAAAGGGGCGGATGCAGAGGGGCAGGAGCGTGCCTAATGGTTTTCATGTTTCGTGGGGGCTTGGTTGGCGTTCGTTGCCTTGCTCAGACCGGGAGAGGTGATGGGATTAAAGATCGGCGACTTGCTGTTCCCTGAAGATGAAGAGCTGTCTGAGGGCGCCGGGTTAGTACTGACGATCAACAAACCGAAGACCCGTCGCATTTGGCCTCCTCAATTTGTACTCGTCAAGGACTTCAAGGTAATCCGATGGCTAAAGTGGTGGTGCGCAGACCGCGGGAGGGGCAGATCTCTGATGCGAATTGCAAGGCGCAAGTGGGCCATGAAGATGGCCGCAGTCCTGTCTGAGATGCATCTGTCCGAGGCGCATTACACTTTGGCAAGCTTCCGCTCTGGAGGCGCGACTCACTACTCACCATTTCAAGACGTTTGCGGACCTAGCCTCCTTGCAGTACTTGGGTCGATGGGTTCGTGCGGAAACGCTCTGCCACTACCTGCACGAGGCCATGGCTGTTCACACTGCTTCCCAAGCTTCAGACACAGCGCGATCAGTGATCAAGGAGGTTAGGACACAATTGCACAGACTTAGTGCACCGCCGCCTCGTCCTCTCAAGTCGCTCCTGGAAGCACGGAATGACTGACCGACTTTCGAGTGCTCTGCGAGCTCTTGCCGACGCCCTAAGCGAGGTCGAGAGCGCTAGCAGGGAAGCAGCGGAGGTCCGGACGGACCAAACAGCGGCCAACAGCGGCCGCAGGGGCCGCGCTGCTCGAACGTCGAGCTCGTCAACGGCTTCGCCACCGCCAGACCAACCGAGCAACCCTGCTCCCCGAGTCGCTGTTGCAGACCACTTGAGCGTCACAGGTTCAGTGGTAGCCAGGCACACGGAGGACCGCATCTACATTGTGGTCGCCAATCCCGGAGATCCCGATCGTGTGGGTGTCTTCGTGGGAAAATGGAGGAGTCTGGAAGAGGAGACCTTGGACGAGGCTCGGGCGGTCTGGGCTCGAGCGCACCCCGACGCGCCGATGCCAACGTTGCGCCTGTGAAGCACGCTGGCCTGGAAGCTTCAGTTCCAGAGGGAGCGCAGAACTTCTTCAACAAGTGCAGCAGAGTGCGGCGAGGCTTGGAGAACAAGACCGCGGCTTGTCGCCCGCGAATTTTGAGTGACAGTGCCGCGACTCAGGCGGCAGCCAGGTGGAGAGGTGGCGACGCGGCTCGGCAGTGGACCAGCACCCTGGCGAAGATCGCGGCGGCGCTGCAGCAGTGGGTGGTACCGACCAGAGCAGGGCAAGCTGCGTCAGGCCAGGCGCAGCTTGCATGCGGCGGCGCGCACCCGGCCCCTGAGGCCCGTCACCGAACCTGTGGAGGGCCCGCAGCAGTTGGCCTGGTGGCGCACCAAGCTTTCATGGAGAACTTTCATTCTGTTGGCGGTGTTGGTGCTCTTTCTGGTGCTCTTTCCGAAAGCAGTGGCTTTGGCAGTGACCCTCACACTGCGGCTGGTGGTCAAGGCGGCGATGCACGTGATCTGGTAGGGTATGGCCAGCCGGTGGCCCACCCCATGTTCTACTCGCCGCCGGCTTCGTCGCCACCACCTTTGCCCACCGGAAGCAATAACAATGAGCAAAACCGACCTGGAGTCGCCCAGGTGGCCCTCCCGACCCGCCCCTGGGACTTCCTCACTTTGGTGCTCGTCGTCTTGCAACTCCGCCAACAGCTGGCGGGAGGGGGTGGGATAGGTGGCCCTTGCCAGTGACAGGCACTCGCGAGCACCTCAAAATCTTTGGATGCTCAAAGTGGCCACTTTTCTGTGTACTTCGAGGGTGGCCTTCTGAAGATTACGGCCACTCCTGACTATCAAGAGGGGATCCTCATTGAGAGCCATTTTGGCGATTCTGATTAGTGTGTGATCCGATTGGCGCAGCCTCAGGTGCAAAAAGAGAGCAGCAGCCTGCGGGCAGCAGTCGGTGAGGAGCTCAGAGGAATTAGGGTTTAGGGTTTATTTCTTAAAGGTTTAGGGCTTAAGGTTCAGGGTTTATAGGTATTGGTTCACCAATAGTAAACCAATAAATCTCGAGATTTTCGTTTGTTTCAATCATCCAAGAAAACTTGAACCGGAAATTTGACTTCAGCCCAAAAGAGACACCTCCACTATGTTAAACATTCCACCTGTGACAGTACACCTGCAGGAACTACAGTGCTAATGCATAGGAACAGCCGGTACACGCGCCGCGACGTACAGGCTCGAGACTACCAGGACACACTCCGCTGACAGGAAAAGTGTCCGCCTTTGACAGTGAGTAGGACCTGAGTAGGAAAGCTTAATGAAGCCCGTTCTTTAACATGGTAGCGGAGCTGCCTCCAGGAACCTCCTTGGCAGCGATGATGCTACTTGTAGCAATAGGAACCATGATGCTCGTCGCCATGGGAGTTTGCCTCGTTGCTGGATGGAAGCAGATGCGCGCAAATGAGCAAGTGACCAAGAAGACAGAGTCAGTGTTGATCATGCCCACGCTCAGGATCGCAGTTCGTTCAGGAACCAAGTACCACCGCAGAGGTTGTGGACATCTTCGTCACCACAACGTGACAGCAGGAAACGCTCGAGACTTCGATGCGTGTGCAGACTGCTACCCCGACAGAGTGCTGGTGGAAGAGAAAGAGTACAGGAACGTAAAGTGCTACTGGCAGCATGTATCGTGCTGTTGGTTGGTTTTGCCCTGGGAAGCCTCGCAACTTTGTGCGGGATGACCTTGATCCCAGGAGGAACAAGAGTGGTTGTGACACCGTGGCAGGCCCTTGGCTACAACAAGAAGGTCAAGGAAGAACTTGCCCTTGGAGATGGTTTATCCTCCAAGGATGCGAGCCGTGGGAGAAAGGAACTTACGTACGTGGAGAGTGACGAGAGTGAGCTCATGGCAGTTTGGTCGAGCAGAGCAAGACCCAATACGCACCGGAACCGCTACAGGAACTACGACGTGTACGGCGAGTACTACCAGGAAGGCTACAACGAGTGCAGCGTGAACCCCGACGGCACCAACGTGAACACGATCAGGAACACGAACGCGTACACGATCAAGGACTATGTGGAGATAGGAAAAGTCATGGTACCGTACGCCTTGTTGTGTGCGAACCAAGTACTGAACGAGCTCTACAGCGTCGTTAGCGTGACCGGCGAGTACTACACGAAAGAGGACAAGGACGGCAACCGGAACACCGAGAGAGTGAGAGCCTTGAGTCAGGCTACGCCCCTAGGTACCTCGTAAAACAACAGCGAGAAGTACTGAGAAAGGTTGTGCAGGAACATGTTCAGAGTTTCGTAGAAAAGCTAGCAACAGTAGGAAAGAAGTTTCACGACGTCGTGCATGTGATAGTTCAGGAAGTTATTTCCAACAGAGTTGTATTTCAAGGAATTCGCATAGCAGTGTTCTTAGGAACCCCAGGGGGACTGATTACTTGGATCACCCTATCGTACTATTCTAGTTTGTTTTTCGCAAGAGCAAGCAGATGCTCAAAGCACCAAAGGAAAACACGAGGAGAGAGGAGAGCCCAAGCAGTGAACAGGAAGCAGTGCAAGTCACTACTTTTAGCAGCGCTTGTGTACAGCAGCCTTGAAGCAGCAAAAGGAATGGAGGATGCATTGAAAGCGCTTGCAGAGATCAATGCACAGACCTTACAAGGAATACAAACACTAGCAGAGGAGATCAGGAACACAGCAGCTTCAGGAAGCCAAAGAGAAGCAGGAAACACTTACAGCAGTGCAGGAACAACAGAAGACAGCACAGACAGCGTTAGCAGATGCTCACACCAATGCAGCAACAACACTTGAGGAGATTGGAGCATCTCTGGAGAAAGCAGTAAAGGAACAACGGAAGCCTGGAGAAGTGGAGTTGCACAAGTTGATCAAAAGCCCCGAAGCGTTTTCCCCAGGAACATGGCAAGAAGAGAAGAGTGGCTGGGCAGAGTTCAGGAACAGGATGCGGATCTGGCTTGGAGCAGTGGATTCCAATATGGTCAAGATCATGGACATCGTTGAAAGGAACTTGAAAGAAGATAAGCAAGTGAAGATGAGTGAGATGTCTGGAGAAGCAAAGGAAGCTAGCCGCCGCCTGTACAGTGTTCTCTGTTCATACACCAAAGGAAGACCTTACCGTGTTGTAAAGCACGTAGGAGAGGAAAACGGTATGGAAGCCTACCGTATGTTGATGAAGGAATACCAACCAACGAATCGTGCAAGATCGTTGGAACTGTTTCACAACATCCTCAACTACAGGTTTGCTCACAACAAAGGAATTGCTGAGAACATCCTCGAATATGAGGAACACATCGAGAAGTACGAGAAGGCGACAGGAGAAAAGGTACAAGAGAACTTGAAAGTATCTACTCTTATCCAAGGCATGAAACTTGATGTTAAAAGGCACCTGTTGCTTAACCTTGACGAGAAGACTCAGTACACAGCTCTTCGTCAGTACCTTGTGAACTACGAGTCAACCGAACGTTGGACTAACTCTTTGTCAGCTCAGCAAGGAACACCTCACCGAACCACGACAGATTTGATCGACAAAGGTGAAGACCATGGTGGTCTTGCAGCAATGGACATCAATCAAGCATGGTACAAAGGTAAGAAAGGCTATGGCAAAGGTTATGTTCAGAACAAAGGCAAAGGTAAATGGAAAGGCAAGAAAGGTGGAAAGGACTTCGGAAAAGGTTTCGGCTTTGACGGTAAAGGCAAAGGTAAAGGCAAAGGTTTTGGAGGTTTTGGCAAAGGCAGAGGCCGAGGCAACTGGAAAGGTAGAGGTCGAGGTTTCAGAGGTTACAAAGGAAAAGGCAAAGGTCGAGGAAAAGGATTCTTCAGGTACAAAGGAAAAGGTAAAGGTAAAGCCCAAGCAGCTACAGGAGTTTGTCACTACTGCCACAAGTACGGACACTTTGAAACACAGTGTAGGCAGAAGCAACGTGACATGGGTTACCAAGCTAGGAACGTGGACCTTGAGAGCCAAAGCGAACAAGCGAGTACTGCAGCTACCTCTACTCAGGCCCCTTCGTCAGCGAACAAAACCTCAACAAGCCAAAGCCAAGCAAGTCAAGGAACACAAAGACCAGTGATTAGGATGGTCTCCATGTATCACATGGGAGACGAGCCCACAAGCTTTCCGGAGGAATTCGCATTGAGTGAAGATTCAGAGGAAATTGAGATTGAGTACTTCGGAAGAGTCTTGCGGGTTGTTGGTGAAGAAGTTCAGGAAGAGAGAAGTGAGACAGAGGAATTTTGGATTGGAGATGAAGATGATGAGTTTCAGGACTGTGATGAGGTGAGTGATGACGCATGGTGGCAATGGCATCTAGAAGGAACCCCAGTAGGAGCTCAGGATCGTGGATACTACTACGAATGCCCCAATGGATGTCATGAAACACCTTGGCACCCAAGCATGCAGGAATGCGAGTATGGATGTCACCATCCTCCCAGGAGGAACAGAGTTGAAGGAACAGCACCTTCAAGAGCGAACACCAGGTTTGTTCGTGCAGCGAGAAGTTCGAGAACTCGTGAGATCGAGGTTGTGTTGGATTCAGGAGCCGACATTTCGTTGGCACCGATGTGGATGAAGAAGTACGGAAGGAAAGCACCCAACACTACTAAGGTTGTTTTGCGAGACGCGCAAGGATCTCGTATCAAGGTTTCAGACCAAAGGATCATTGAGGTTGAGTTTCGAGATGTTCAAGGAAACATTGTGAAGGTTGAAGAAGTGTTCTTGATTTCATCGGTTGTGCACCCTCTTTTGGCAGTAGGTAAACTGTTGAAGAAAGGTTGGGAGTTCAGAGATGGAACCACTACAGGCACATTCCTCACAGAAGGAACAACCAAGATCGCAGTGAACTACAACAACAACTCACTTACCACAAAAGCCTTTGTGAGAGCAGTCAACTGGGAAGCAGAAGCCAAGCCTATTCCCATTTACTTGTGCGAGAACCTGAAGGAACTCATTGAAGAACAACGTGTTGGTTGGACCAATTGGAGAGACCCTTACCAAGTCCACTTCAGCCTAGGAACTTCAGAGCACGTTGATACCTACTTGATGTTTCCACCAGGAAAGTTTGCTTACAGAGCAGTACTTATTGAGGACGATGACCAGTGGTATCTGTTGCATCATAGCATCATGTTCGAGGAACTTGAAGAACCATTTGGAACAATCTTTGACGGTAGCAAAGAGTACCGAACATTGACGCTAGTATCGCTCAAAGAGTTTCCACTGAACCTCATAGGTACACCCAAGGAAGATGAAGACAGGAAGATGTTTGAAGAGTACACTGAAGATGCATGATCGATCAGCATGGATGGCACAACACTTACGAGGTACCACAATTCCATGAGGAAGACTTTGTTCAATCCTCGAGATACCAATGACATTCCAGTAGACATTGGGAACCTCAAACCAGAGAGGTACACCTTTGGAGAGGAACCTATCAACAAGGACTTCTTTGAGGATGATAAGTTTTGGACTTTGGATGAGCCTCACAGAGACCCAGAACCACTAGGAGGTTTGTCTTGGACAGGACGCAGTGTATTCGAACTCATTGAACCAGTGAACCCAAAGGCCAGGAAACCAAAGCAGAAGGTTCACCAACTGGACACAATCCCAGAACAGGAAGAAGAACAGGAAGAGACCTCAGAGGCCCATGCACCAGAACACAGACATGAACTTGCAGGAGAACTGCCATTCACATTCAATGGCCATGAGTACAACCAGCAGAACAGCCTCA